AAAACATTCCTGTACGATATTATTTTCTTCATACTCTTCAGGATTGACTTTTTCCCAAGATGAATGGATGCTAAACAAATATGCCAGATTGAAACATTGTCCTTGTCTCTTTTATAGCCACAAATGGCATTAATTCTTGGAAAGAGAAAACTGATGGTACTCCCAAATTCTGAGTCAATTTATCACATTTCTTCCACAGCTGGCTGCAGTGTTCAGAATCTGATGGGTTTCCTTCAATACCCTATAAGGTTTCACTTGATATGAGCCATGAAAATAGCCAATATTTTGCCAGTACTTCCATAATGCATTCTTGATCCTCTAAAAATATGGATTGCAGGCTACCTAAGCAGTGGTAAAGAATAAAATGTAGAATATCCTCTAAAATGGGTGGGGGATGGGGGGTTTGTTGAGGATAAACAATATCCAGATGCTATGTAGTGGTATGGTTTCTCCTGTGAATATTTTGTGGTGAGATCCCAGAGGGTAAATAGGTGGTGACATATATTTGGTAAGCCTTGACAAGGGAGCATCTTAAAACAAGCACAGACTGGAATGAATTTATAAAACCTGGGTTTTTCACATTTAGTCTGATGACAATTACCTATTGACAACCCAGAGATCTGTGGGAATTCCAACAGTTCTTTTAACCTGAAGGTAGCCCTCGATATATGGAACCTGCTCATTACAGTCAAAAGTCATAACAGTCATAAAATGGGTCGATCATATCCCCGGCCTGATTTTACAAGCCTTTTGCTGTGATCATTAAGCTAACACAACAGTCATAAAGTGGCTGCCAGTGCTATTAAGCAAACCAATGGTTCACTACAGGTGCTGTCTTGAGGAAAACTGGTCATGTGACCACAGGACATGGAAATTGCCATAATGCGGCCATGTTGCCCAAAGCCTGAAGTTTGGTCACATGTCCCAAGAGAGGGTCTAGCCATTGGAACTTTGAATCCAGGTCATAAGTCCCCTTTTAAGGATTGCTGATGACTTCAAATGGTTACTAAATGATCGGTCATAATTCAAGGACTACCTTTCTCTAGGCTGAGAAAGGCTGTTGCATAGAAGAAAACTCTCCAAAGGATTTTCTTCCATAGGAGCCTGCTTGCCTGTCTTTCTTTCTGTCTGTCTGTCTGTCTCTATCATCTATCCATCATCTCTCATCTATCTATCTATCTATCTATCTATCTATCTATCTATCTATCTATCTATCTATCTGTCTGTCTGTCTGTCTGTCTGTCTGTCTGTCTGTCTGTCTGTCTATCTATCTATCTATCTATCTATCTATCTATCTACCTACCTACCTTCCTACCTACCTACCTATCATCTATCTATCTCTATCATCTATTCACGTATCTGTCATCTCTCTATCATCTATCTATCATCTATCCATCATCATGTATTTATCATCTGTTTATCATCTATCAATCATCTATCATCCATGATCTACCTATCATCTATCTATCTATCTATCTATCTATCTATCTATCTATCTATCTATCTATCTATCTATCTATCTATCTATCTATCTATCTATCTAGGTATCTATCATCTCTATCATCTATCAATCATCTATCATCTATCATCTATCATCTATCTACCATCTATCAATCATCTATCATGTATTTATTTATTGTCTATTTATCTATATCATCTATCTATCATCTATCAATCATGTATCATCTATGATCTATCTATGATCTACAGTATCTATCATCCATCTAGCTAGCTTGCTAGCTAGCTATCGTCTATTATCTATCTATCTAATTTTTACCCTAACCATATCAACTATGTGACTCTGGACAGTTTATCTAGGACTGGGCTGGTCTAAAGGAGCAGTCTAGCATTGTTTTTTGTTTTGCTTCTGCCTTGGGCCAGTCCTGTGTAAGTTTGCTCCTCAGAGCTTTCACCAGGCCAGGTGAGGTGAGTTCAAAGCGGCGATTCCCTCTCTTCTCCCATCACTTTGTGCTTCTAATTTCCTTCATAACATTGAAAAGGAATTGGTGCTGTGTGCAAAGGTTTGGGGAAAGGGGGAGGGCCTGCACGTCGCTGAACTCCAACCACCTGGCATTACTGCTCGGATTATTAGTTCCTAGTAATTTAGTGCCCTTGCGCAGGGTCGATTTGTGCCTTTCATTTCTAATTGATCTAGTGGCTGTTTAAATGGCAGCAGGCATCTGTTGAGAGTGGGAAGGTTCATAAGGCGAAATAATTCATAACACCGTCTGGAATTTGCCTTTCATATCCCTCAGCTAAGCCTCGGCAGGGCTGCCTAAATTATGACCAGGGAAACTTCCCTCCACCTGCCCCCACCTCCGTATTCTGCTCATGGCTGGAGGAATCTTGCATTAAACTGGGATCAGTCTAGATTAGACTGTAATATGGTGCAGTATTAGTGGCTGCAAATGAAGACTTCTATCAGAGTTTAACCCCTTCACCTGCTCTTCTCTTTGTTTTGATCCTGGAAAACTTGGCTAGCCCATTGGTGCCTCTGATTTGTGGCTATGTATAATAGAATTTTCAACTTGCCAGACTCTCGGGATAACTTCCAGATGAAGCATTCAGAACAACACGCTCGAAAGAAAGGAAAACACACTTTGATTAAATAAAGAGTGAGACTTTCAGCCCTTAGCAAAATGGGTGTCCTTTTTTTCTTTTCTTTTCAATACCTCACATATGCAAAGGTAAGGAGAGAAAAAATTCTCTCTGTCTCTCTCACACACATACACACACACATACAACGCACACAGCAACCCATGCCCCATTGAGTCATCGTTTCAGAGATATTTCCTTACCTAAATGGAGAAACAGAATGACCAAGGGTGGTCAAAAAAGCAGTGAATGCAGGAGGGACTTCCGACTTCCTGCTGGCTTCCCCATTGAGTTTTCTTTTCTTTTCTTTCTTTTTTCTTTTAAAAGTTTTTTATTTATAAAACAGTTAAAACACAGATGGACATAACGTAACATTCCAGTGTATATATTCCTAACAATTTGTTCCTCATCATACGTATAATTCTTAATCTCTATATATACATATTTTTCTATACAATACAGTCTCTAATTTGTTTCTCTATATACTAACATACAGTTTTATATATCTCTATCTTAACACTAACTTAAAACCCGAACAGTTCTCCTTGATTCACACCAACAATAGAATTTGTCCCAGGTTTCAAAGTAATCTGACTCTGTCTTGTCCTTCATTTCCATTGTGAGCCTATCCATATCAGCAACCCCATTGAGTTTTCTTGTGGAAATTTGGAAATCTTCTTCCCTCTCTCCCTTCCTAATTCATGGGCTGCTGCCCGGTGGGGGAAGGAGTGAAGGATTGTGAGTATGGCTAGGAAACTGTCACCCAGAGTCTCTTTGGATAACGAGATGGGTGGCATATAAATTTAATAAATAAAATGAAGATGATGTCATGCAGCAGCAGCCTAAAGCACGGAAGCAGATACAACTTTCCCGAATATTATTGTCTTGGGAGTTCTGGGTCCCAGATTTTGGACACGTTCTGTAAGTTAGCCGATTTAAGGTACCTTCTTTCAAAAACTGTCACTCTATGATGCGCTGTTTTGCCCAGATAAAGGTCACGACAAGAAGATTTTTAGAAATATATATAGTTTATTAAAAGAAAAATGGATCTTGGATAATACATCTGGCCCATGTTCCCTATTTCAGCAGGCTTGCTGGCAAATTATTGGGTGATGAAGTGTTTCACACACCTCCCTCTTCCCTCCTTCTTAGTTTCTGCGGGTCTGATAAGGCTTAGTAGATGAGTAATCACATTAAGTTTACTATTCTTAGCTGAATCCCATTCATTTGCTTGCTCCGAAATCCTGTGCTGGCCAACTTTTAACATTGTGGATAATCAATTTGTAAAGCAAGATTGTGCATGTTGTCCATGACTAGACTGCTGCATGTGGATGAGTTTGACTTGTGTGGAGACTACAAAAAAGAAAAATGAAAGCAGAATACAGGTTGTATCAACATACTCTCCAGGTGTATATCTTATAAGCTGTCTGTTGAAGTGCTGAAAAACTCATGAAAGTACAACAAAAGCTGTCTTACACCAGATTTGGTTATTTGTCCTTTGTTTTGGCTACTCTGGCTGGTTTTCCAAGCTGTCAAGCAATGAAGGACTTTCCTATCACCAGTTTGCTAGGTTTAAACCTAAGACCTTTTGTAGGCAAGACTGCCCTTTGTTCTTCTGCTCTTATGTTCCTGGTTTTTTTTTCCTTCTTTGAAAGAAACTTCCCATTCCAACCCAGCCCCCTTCCTGCGGTTTTCTCTCTCTCTCTCTCTCTCTCTCTCTCTCTCTCTCTCTCTCTCTCTCTCTCTCTCTCTCTCTCTCTCTCTCTCTCTCTCTCTCTCTCTCTCTCTCTCTCTCTCTCTCTCTCTCTCTCTCTCTCTCTCTCTCTTTCTGTCTTTTCTTTCTTTCCCTCTCTCTATTCTTTTTCCTTCCTTCCTTCCTTCCTTCCTTCCTTCCTTCCTTCCTTCCTTCCTTCCTTCCTTCCTTCCTTCTTTCTCTCTCTCTCTCTTTCTTTTAAATTTCTTTTAATGGGGCTTTCTCAGTTATCTCATTGGGCAATGGTAGAAGGTTTTGATTCCCCCCCCCCCTAGTTATACATCTCTAATTCTGCAGTCTCTCTTGCTTTTCTTGATTCCTGATCTGAAGAAAAGAAAAAAAAAGCTCTATGGGGAGATTTCTCTCCTGATATTTTCCTTTAGGATTTAACTGAAGCTTAGGAAGCTGGGAAGCCCCCAACAAATTGTGAGATGAAAGGATAGATGCTTGAACATACCTCTCAGGCACCTCCTAACTAAAGCAAGTTGAGGAACATGAGATTTTTTTTCATCTCCTTTGAAAAAGAATTGAAGGGGAACAGTAGCATTCATGAATATAGAACAGCATGAAGCTGTATATACATTGAGAGATAGAAATGGCCTTGTTGACGCATTTGTCTCTGAAATGTCATTCTGTTCCCTTTTCCCTTTAGGCATCCTCTTTTCCCCCTCCTGACGCTGCTATTTGAGAAATGCGAGCAAGCGACCCAGGGCTCGGAATGCATCACCTCTGCCAGCTTTGATGTTGACATTGAGAACTTCGTACACCAGCAAGAACAGGAGCACAAACCATTCTTCAGTGATGATCCTGAGCTGGACAATTTGGTAATTCTTCCACTTCCACCATTTTATCTCATACATACATACATATTCCTTGAACTTCAAAGTTAATGCCTGCATTGCATCCATCTCACTGCACCTTGGCCTTCTCGTTGAAAGCCTTCTTCAACAAATAAGGCCAAACTATATTTAACAGCATAGATTTCACTGGCCAAATTGCACCCTCTTGCCACTGATCTCTGCCACAGTGATATCCCTGCTCCTTGAAGGACATCTATCCCGCCATGCCCTCACCAGAGGTCTCGGTTCAGAACCATAGAAATGCCACATGATTTCCCCTAATAATGTCATTCCCTGCCTCTTAATGAGGGATACCATGAGTGATGATCCATTGTAAGGATCATGGATGATCCACTCGAGCAGTTTGTGTTCAAACAACTCAAATATGGTGGTAGCCATGGACCAAGGCGATGGGAAATGTGTGGCCATCAAGATTGGAGGGCTGCCATTATCATTGGAGAGGCTGATTGGTAGAGGACCACATCTTATCTCTCATTTCAAGCTGGTGGGTGTGAACAAATGAAATAGATGGGAGCTTGCTGATCAGACCCTTATATCAGGTCCACAACTAAATGTTCAATTAAGCTGATTTATTGCTAAGTGCCTGTGCACAGGAATCTTCTCAACTAATGGCCAGCACCTGGTCAGCATTAGATAAGGATCAACGGCATTCTTGAGGGTGGGTTGGATTAAGTTCACTTCTGGCTACATAAGGATTCTAGGCTGATCCCTTTTTTCATTCCTCCCCCAGATTCTGCCATTGTTAGAATAACAATAAAACACAGAAGAAAATGTCAACACAGCATTAATATGGGGGGGAAGGGAGGCTGTGAGCCCAATTTCAGTTTGCCAAATGTGATTCTAATGATTCTAAGATATATCATTCAATGGAGGTAACATTTCCCAGTTTCATGTAGTGATCTGGAATAACTCTATGCCAGACACTTGACCCAAATTTAAAAAGACAGCTGATTACACAGATTCTTAAATAGTGTGTCCTTGGCAGCTACCTGAAAGTGACAACTGCTGACACTGAGTTTTTTGGGTTGGTCACTTTGACATCCACTTAGGCTGTGCAAACACTCTCTCTCCTTTGGCATCTTCTTTCAATATTTGGCTGAAATCAACATGTTGCAGCTTCAGCTCCTGATGACAAAGTTGTTTCTCTCCTGGAAAACTATATTTATACCTGCAGCACCTGTATAGCAGAAAAAAAATCTTGGTCTTTCTTGCTTGTTGAAATTGTAAGAATGAATGAATGAATGAATGAATGAATGAATGAATGAATGAATGAATGAGTTGTGGACAAAGGCGAGTTAAGGGTTATGTATTTATTTAAAAAAAAACACTTGAAAGAAGCAGTAGTTGTAATTTTCCTTTTTGTTTGTTTGTTTGTTTTCATGGAGAGTGGATTTTTTCCCTTAAGGTACATGAATATGAACATTTCTTCTAGAGGAGTTAGCTGGAAAAGATTTGAAGGAGATCACAATGGGTTAAATGCCCGATTTCTTCCTTGGTTTCAAGAGGGGTTTTGTTTTTTTGCAATTTGTTCCAACTCCCTTCTGCTATTTTTGTACAGATTATATTAAAGTTCACTGTTCTTATGTTAGTATCCCGTGTCATTTATCCAAGGGATTCAGTGTCAAAAGTTAAAGCTGTGCCAATGAATTCAAAAGGGCTATAAGATGCTGCCGTTCTCCTATAAGGCTGGCAGAATTTTTCTCTTTTCATCAGTTGACTTCACTTGATGTACTTCTTTTACTGGAACATAATTAAATGTAATAAAGATGAGGATGTCCTTGGCTCCAGACTGTACTTGTGGCTGAAACACTTCATAACCAGAAGACTTATTATACCCTTCTAATACAGCCCTTAAGAATCCCCAGTTCCTTTCAGATGAGCCTTTTTAGCGATTGCACCAAGATTTCTAAGATCATATAGGATTTCCAATCCCAGATTCTATAGTCAGAAAATTTAGCAGCATATAGATAAACCTTGTGCCGGACTGACCATCACTGGTTTTGCATCAATAAATAATTGAAGGTCATTGCCACCAATGTGTTACATTTTTCTTTCAAATTCATTAACAGAAGTGGCCTTTGGTGACAAAGTGGCATTTTGCGTGAAGCAAAAATGGTCCCATCTGGACTAACAATCAAATACTACTCTGAGTTCCTTGCTGCTATCTTTATTTTCCATGGAGAACATCCCATTGTCCACCAAGGAGAATGGGAAAATCTGAAAATTCCCCAGATTTTCCAGTAGAACTATAACCAGTCAGTGTACACATAGAACATAGAATAATAGAGTTGGAAGGGATCTTGTGGGTCTTGTAGTCCAATCCTCTGCACGAGCAGGAGACCCTATACCAGGGGTAGGTAACCTTGGCTCTTTTATGACTCGTGGACTTCAACTCCCAGAATTCCTGAGCCAGCCATACTGAGGGGAAAGGGAGAGGTTTCCAAGCTGAGCCATGCTGGCTCAGGAATTCTGGGTGTTGAGGTCCACGAGTCATAAAAGAGCCAAGGTTGCCTACCCCTGCCCTATACCATTTCAGACAAGTGTCTCTTTTCGAAAGCCTCCAGTGATGGAGCACCCACAACTTCTAAAGGCAAGCTATTCCATTGGTTGATTGCTCTCACCTTTCGGAAATTTCTCCTTCATTCTAGGTTGCTTCTCTCCTGGATTAGTTTCCATTCATTGTTTCTGGTCTTGCCTTCAGGTGCTTTGGAAAATAGTTTGACCCCCTCATTTTTGTAGGAGCCGCTCAAATATTGGAACACTGCTATCATGTCACCCCTAGTCCTTCTTTTCATTAAACTAGACATACCTAATTCCTGTAGCTATAGCAGCACTCTTAACACCACTAAACTCTGCTTCTGTCACTACTAATATTAATATATTAACTGTTATTGTTATCTCTCCTATTGCTTTCCTGGATTTTTTTTTAAAGCTCACAGGCGATAGTACTTGGAAGTCTTGCAAACCGTGATGCTTCAAATGAATCCTCCCTCCCCGTGATCCTTATCTCCCAAAGTTTATTTGTTGTATGTACATGGTTTTAATGCTACTAATCCTATGTAAATTGTCCACCATAGCTGACAGCAAAGAGGAGAGGAAAAGGCCAGGGACATTAACCATCATTAGAATAAGAATCATGTATTCCTCACAGGCGAGATGCACATAATTAGAAATTAGAAAAAGGTCAGATCTCGCCATTATCAACTCAATCAGCTGCTGAGTGCCACACAGTCAATTAATTCAGCATCTGTATTTTTTACAACCCCGCACACGTATTCCATCGGACTGTAACTCATTATCCGGACAGATATACGGCTCAGCGAAGCAGGGACATAAAATGAGAGACCCCGAGCAAATGAGCTGAGATAATTGAGAGATTTATTATATATATAATATATAATATATACACATACACACACACACACACACACACACACACACACATGAAGAGAGGCGTATATACATGGGCACACACAACTTTCCTTGCCCTTGAATGCTAACTTTCAGGAAGATGTTTGTTGAGCAGGTCCAATGTTACTGGAGAACTTCTACTATCATGGTTCTTTCTTTTCTTTCTTTCTTGAAATGTTGTGGATCTTTCCAAGAGCTGAGAGTGGCCCTTGGGACTTCTATTCCTGTCCTTTTTCATCCTGACAAAAATCTTGCTGGATAGGAGATGCAGAAGGATGGTGTCTCTGCTAGGTTCATAACCAGAATTTCATGGCTGAGAAGGCACTTTCCATCTTGACATTTATTTCACTGTACTAGATTAGCCCTATTCTGTGACTATTGATGTATGTGGGAAGAATGGGCTGGTTTTCTTCTCACTTCTTCCTTTATTTCCAGCTTCCCCTGTTGAAGTCAGGCAGATAACTGCATTTGGATAATTGGGGTAATAGTTCTTCCTGTACAGGTGTTCCTCAACTTATGAACCACAGCTAGGACTGTAATTTCCTTTGCTAAGCATGGCAATTGTTCACTGACTCATATTCAATTTTATGGCCTTTTATGACACAGTTGTTAAACAAATCACTGCAGTTGTGAAGTGTATCACACGGACATTAGGCAAATCCAGTTTCCCTCACTGACTCTACTGAGTTCCCTTCACTTCCCCCACTGAAGGAAAGAAAGAAAGAAAGAAAGAAAGAAAGAAAGAAAGAAAGAAAGAAGGAAGGAAGGAAGGAAGGAAGGAAGGAAGGAAGGAAGGAAGGAAGGAAGGAGAAATTCAGAATATGAACTGACTGAGAGCCGGTGGACAATTGAGTTTGCTTCTGCTGAAGTTTTAATAACAAGCATCCTTTAGTAGATGGGGCAGTTGTAGGAATTTCCCCCCTGTTTGCACACAAAGTGCCTTAGTTTCAAATAATATAAAATTTATTCTCTCCTTTCTCTATCTAATTTTCCCTTCTGCCTTTTTTTGAAATTCAGCTAGGAAAGCTTTCACACTTCCGCAAGGGGATAGAAAAACCCATCCATTTTCATTTCTCTTGGCTGCTTAATTTTGTGAGAAGGTCAAGTTTGGTTTGTCAAATGGGAGAAAAGCTCCTTTTAAAATCTTGCTCCAAATTTATAGTTTAGCAATAGCAATAGCACTCCGACTTATACACTGCCACAAAGCGTTTTACAGCACTTTACAAATGAGTCACAAGGCTGAAGCATTATTTGCATATTGCCCCCCCCCCAACAATCTGGGTCCTTATTTTACTGATCTCAGAAAGATGAAAGGCTGAGTCAACCTCAACCCCATCAGGATCGAACTCCTGGCTGTGGTAGAATGAGCCTGCAATACTGCATTCTAACCACTGCGCCACCACAGCTCCATCAGGTTTTAATACAAAATGTGCATTTTGTGTGCAATTTTGTTTAGTAAGAGGTGTAGTTCAATACAAGTTAATATACATCCTTACTGACAAACTGCATTGCTAAGCAGAGCTGTGATTGTCAATTGATAATGTTTCCATTTCTCTATTGATTTAAAAATGTGAGGTTAGATAAGTTTATTTCAAACTGTTCCTTCCATTATCATAGAAGAAAAATTGATATTCTGTGCTCTTTGTTAGCACCTTCCTTAATAATCGTGCTGCTACTTCTTCTTAGCAGAATCCAAAGCAAACTCCAGGTTGATAAGTGTAGTGGACCACCCCTTGAACAGCCTGTGACTAATAAGCTGGTAAAAGGGACCATTAAAATTAGCAAGTTGAAAAAACTGGTTTGAAACTTAAAGACCATTTGTTACAATATTTTTAAAAAGCTGATTTACTACTCTGGGGTGAATAGCTGAGATTTTATACCAGATTCAGGATTTGGAGCTGGGGCTATCAAAAATGGAAGGCCTCCGTTCCATGCATGGCATGTTTTATGTGTAAAATTTTTTAACATTTATGGGGTACATTTTATGAAGGCTAAGACTTCTCCCAAGGGAGAGCTTACGAGGCAGATTTTTTCATTCTCTGGGCTTGTTAAACAGAGAAGTCAGCTGAGAATAATCAAGGATGCTCTTAAGAATTCTCATGGCTGGATTCCAAAATGCTCCGAGAACGAAAAGCTGAGTTTTCCCAGGGGAATATTTGGGAGCTGTGCCTCTCTTAGTGGCGCCAGCAGCACCCATTAGCAGACATAGAACAGTACAGGTGGTCCTCCACTTGCAACAGTTTGCTTAGTGACTGTTCAAAGTTACAACGGCAGTGAAAAAAGAGACATTTTTCACAGTTACCACCGTAGCAGCATCCCCAAGGTTACGTGATTTACATTCGGACGCTTGACAGCTGACTCACATCTATGACGGGCGCAGTGTCCTGGGGTCACATGATCCCCTTTTACGACCTTCTGGCAAGCAAAATCAATGGGGAAACCAGATTCACTTAACAACCATGTTACTAATTTAACAATTGCAGTGATGTGGCGAATCATAAAATGGGGTAAAACTCACTTAACAAATTTCTCACTTAGCTACATAAATTTTGGGATCAGTTGTCATTGTAAGTTGAGAACTACCTGTAGTCCAGTTCTGACAGGGTGTCAGCCCTCCCGGGTAAACTAAACAGGAAACACACCAGTAGGTGAACTAAATCTACTTTATTGAGGATTTTAATTTACAGAATCTTCCAAGTTTGAAAGTACAAGCTTTTAACTGCCTGATCCATTAGGGGACGTCCTTCCTAAATGTATGTGGAGATTCTCAAACATCCAGGTTATAGTCGTCTCAAAGATGTTTTTCCTAATGGCAACTGGACTTTCTTGTGTTTTTTATTCTGGAAAACATTTTGTTTCTCATCCAAGAAGCTGTAGCCAGAACTGAAGAAGCTTCTTGAATGATAAACGAAACATTTTCAAGAGAAAAAAAAAACAATAAAAACCAAGAAAGTCCAGTTCTCTTTTGGAAAAGCATCTTTGGCAGGTCCTTCCTAACTAAGTTTCTTCCCCTGACTGTTAAGCCACTGAAGGCTCCTGCCTCTCTTCTTTAATTTTTTCTTAGACAACATCTCTTCCCCTCATCGCCCAAAGTCATCAGCACCTACCATAACACATGGTTTTCTGCTTTTTAGAAATCTGGGATCCACAGGAAGCTCGATCGTTTGGCAATTTCACTCACAGCTGCTTCTCTATTCTCAATGATCTTCCATTTTTCTTACATAGATAGTAGACAAGTCACACTTGACTTGTCTAGCCATGAAAAAAAATAGGTTCTTCCACTCCTATTAAAGGGGAAGATTCTTCTAAGATAGTATTTAAGATATCATTGTATACTTGTATTTTTGAATATTTGGGGAATCTACGCCATCATTGTCCATGTTTAAAATTTGTCGGTTATTAAAAATAATGATTATTTTGTGTGGATTGGACACTTCTGAGTCTGTTTAGGAAGAAGCTGAAATTTTCAGCTAATTGTCAAACAGCAATTGTAGTACTATGAAGCGGTTATGTGTTAGGATGGGTTCTTTTTGGAGAAAAATTATTTCATCTATTCATTCTATATGGGGGACTGGTCAGTTTTTGTACAGGCTCACATTCCGTTGAACTGTATATTGATTGTTTGGAAAGAAACAAGAAAACAGCAGCTAAGAAGGTTTTTGCTTTTTTATGATTGCAACAATCTGGTGCTATAAAGTTGGGACCTGTTTTCCATCAATTACATAGTATGTAACTATGTCTATATCTGAACAACTATTTGATCACAGGAGCAATGAGCAGAATAGATACCAGTAACCCTCAACTTACAATTATCCGTTTAGGGACTGTTCAAAGTGGAAATGTCCCTGAAAAAAGTGACTAGTTGTCACACTTACAACCGTTGTAACATTTCTATAATCACAGGATCAAAATTTAGGTCCTTGGCAACCGACATGTTTGCAGTGTCTCGGAGTTACGTGATTGCCATTTGCGGCCTTCCCAATCAGCTTATGACAAGCAAAGTCAACGGGGAAAACCAGATTCACCTAATAACCATGAGAGTCACTTAATAACTGCATCTCCACAACCATGGAAAAAGGTCATAAAATTGGACACAGCCACTTAACAATCCCTGTGCTTAGCCATGGAAATTCTCACCCCCAATTGTGGTTACAGGCTGAGTACTACCCATATTATAAGTTATATCTTTCATTTCCCATTATTATTATTAAATAAAGGGATTTATACATTGATCGTTTAATTAGATAACACTGTGTGTGTGTGTGTTTGTGTGTGTGTGTGTGTGTGTTTGCCTGTGCATAAATGCACCTATACTTGTGATTTTTTTTGGATAGAAATATAAGAGAAATGGGTTTTTTTCCTTTTCAAACATAAAAACAAAAACGAGAACGCGCTTGCATTTTTCAATGATTAAATACATAATTAATTAAGGAACATAGCAGAACTGATTGCCGTCGTTTGAAGGCATTATCTTCCATCAATGCATTCGTTGTTTTCTATAAGTAAAATGACCCGGCTCTTGCTTTTAATTGTCTGCAGATGGTGAAAGCTATTCAGGTCCTCCGAATTCATCTCTTGGAGTTGGAGAAAGTGAACGAATTGTGCAAAGACTTTTGTAACCGTTACATCACCTGCCTCAAAACTAAGATGCACAGCGACAACCTTCTCAGGAATGACCTTGGGGGACCTTACTCCCCGAATCAGTCCTCCATTAACCTACACACACAGGTAATTGCTGAAAAATACACTTCACCAGCAGCCGTAGATTGGCAGAATGTGACCAAGCACAGAGAGCCCTGATCTTCAGAAATATGTTCATTCTTCTTGTCTTTCGCACTCTGCACCAAGTCTTCTCTTTTTCTCCCCTAGCATTTTGTCCTGCTTAGTTGCAGCCTCTGCTTTGTTTACATTGTGCTTGCTTCGTTGACGCAGCAAAGCTACCAATGCACAAGGCAACAAAGGCATTGCTTCTCAACCTGCTGGTTGTAGAACTTAAGCTAGGGAGATGAGAAAGAGTGACTGGCCCCAAATCACCCAGCTGGCTTACGTGCCGAAGGAAAGACTAGATCTATATCTTACAACCCTCGTCCAGTTCCTTAACCACTATATCATGCTGGCTCTCTATCAAGGTTTATCAAAACCTATGCAGAATAAGAGAGCTGGAAGGGACCTTGAAGATCTTCTTATCCAATCCATTGCTCAAGCAGGAAACCTTATCCTACTCCAAAAATCCTTTCCTTTACGAAATCCTTATAAAAGATTTGTACAGAGCCCATCGATTGCAGGGGTCCTCAACCTTGGCAACTTTAAGACTTGTGGACTTCAACTCCCAGAATTCCTCAGACAGCAAAGTCCACAAGTCTTAAAGTTGCCAAGGTTGAGGACTCCTGCTATAGAGCATGTGACAAGTTAAATCCTAACAAACGGGCTGGAAAAGAGCTCTCTCTTGAAACTCCAAAGAACGGTGATCAGTCATAGACCAGGCCTTCTTACATGGTAACATCTGGGACTGGTGGTGAATTTTGTGGGTTACAAGCTGAGGAAGAAGGTATAGTTGGAACAAATGACTCAGTAGCCTGCTGTGGGTGTAAATCTTTCTGGTACAGTAGTTGTGGAAAGAAGAGCTGAAGCCCTCTTCAGAAGAAATTCTGCCAAGTTCTCAAGCTCATTATTTGATTGGAAAACATCATCCAATCATCTTCCTGGAGAACTTTCCATATACATAGATAAAAGCCTCACGATGCTAGATCTTCACACCACCTAGGGATGATTTTAAATATGTCCCATAAAAGTTACCAACTTAGCTCTTGGACAGCCTTGTTGCACAAAGTATTCCTCTATTTGATTATTCAAAAATGACTATTTGACATGTCATTTTAATCCCATGAAGTTCCAGGCATTATTTCTAAGGCTATAAATCCACAATTTGATTATTTTTTTTTACAAACGTGATGATTAGGAAATGATGGTTCTTAATAGGATATGAGGAATCGCGGTGGCTCAGCAGTTAAAAGCAGTGAGCTCGTCAACTGGAAAGCTGACAGCCCAGGTTGGAGACCTGAGCGCTGTGCAATGGATAAGCTCCTGTTTCTTGCTCCAGCTCTTGCCCATCCAGCAGTTCAAAAGCATGCAAATAGATAAATAGGTACCACTTTGGTGGGAAGGTAACAGCATTCCATGCGCCTTTGGTGTATAGCCATGTTTGGCACATGATCACAGAAAATGTCCTTGGACAATGCTGATTCCCTTGGCCAAGAAACAGGGATGAGCACCGTGCCCTAGAGTCGGACACAACTGGACAGAGAAACCTTTATCTTTACTAATAGAATATATGTGTTTCTTTATTCCCTTTCAGAGGAAACATTCCATGCACCCAGCATTGGTTTAATTACACTAAAAATCTTTTTTTAAAAAAAGACTTATCACCAATATAACATTTTGAAGACCCAAGAAACTCCTAGGTAGTGTATTATATTAGTTGTCAAGTAGTCAGCTCTGTTCTCAAGGCTAGTCTGATTTCTTTGGTTGTCACCATTTGTCACCTTCTTCACGGCTTCACAAAAATAGCTTTCTGTATCTGCTTCCTACTTACTCCGAGGATACTCTAATAAATCCTGCCCAAGAATGTTGTCTTGTTCATAAATGTGTTGCTTACAAACATGGTTAGTATGGTATGTAATCTGAAAAACAGCTCTTTTTTTCATACCCTAGCTCGCAGGATTGAAATTGTTTAATTGTTTGATTAAAAAAATTGCACTTATCTCTCCCTGTTTATATTCCTAAAGAGGAGATCTATTAGATATTAAATACTATCATTACTGTAAAGAAAAAGAACACCTGCGCTCTTTTCTCTTAGAATTTAACTTCTCCCTTACTAGAATATGCAAAGGATGATTATTATTTGAGTGAAAATAGGTCAACCCCAGAATGAGTATAATGTGATTTGCACCTGGATGTATTAAAGTTATTGTATATATTTGAGTAAAATCATAGCAATGCTATTGCACGTGGTTTAGCAGTATCCTCTTTACTTCACACAGAAGTAAGTTCTACCAAGTTCAATAGGACTTACTTCCAGGTAAGCGGATAAAGATAGGAAATTTATATTAGCAGGCTGAATATTTCTTTAAACTGGAGAGTCTACATAAAAAAAAACCCCTCTCTTTGAAACCCAGAAAAATATTTCCAATGCGGTTTATGATCCAAGTTGCATTATTTCCTTTACAATATGTTTTGAGGTTGGGATCAAAATCCTTCTCTCTTTCTGTCTGGTTTTTGGAGATGGCAGAACCTAGATGGCACTTTACCTTCAGATCAGCTAGGAATACAATTTTTAAGATCCCCAAGAAATATGGCTTTTTATGCATTTTGCCAGAGAGAAATCAGAAGACAAAATGTCTGGTCACATTCCGTAGGGACAGTATGTTTTTTATGATAGCATAGAACTTTGCAGAATCTGCAAAAGATGCATAAAAACCCACTTCCAAAATATACTGCTCAAAAAAATAAAGGGAACATTTTACCATGGAACTGAAGGAGTTTGCGTTCCCTTTATTTTTTTGAGCAGTATATATAAATTTCAATAACAGCTAGCATACATGCTCATATTCCGTGATCATTTGATACTAACTTTTTTGAAGCTTTCAGGTATGGGTTTCTGGAGAAGACATGTATACATACATACAAGAACTTATTTAAAAGTTAGAAAAGAAACTACATACTGTGGGGGGGGAAGTATTATATAGGATCAAGCTGCAACATGTATTTACTCTTAACTTCTTTCTCAACACTTGACATGTTCCCGCATCATCAAATCTTGGCAAAAGCATAACTTTAAAAAGAAAATCTGATTGAACCTGCTGAGTAGTTCCTCAATTATCTTTTACAAGATGAAAAAGATTGTAAAAGAAACATAAAAATGTGAGCTCGTAGAAAACAAATATACCTTTCTTGCCATTTCTATTCCCTAAAAGAAGAAAGAGAGATGCTTTTGGAAAGAATAATATCCTTTTTAGGCATGAGTAACCTACTGTCAAGAAAACTAAAAGGAGGTTTACAAAAATGTCAGTGTGTTACTGGAAGATGAGTCTTTCCACTCAGAAAGTATCCAGTGGAATTATCTCTGTTTGAATGAAAAGCAAGCCAACAAATATTACGACAATCCCAAGTTTAAGTTCCAACCAGAGATACAGACGAAAGAGAACTTCCAACAATTCTATGGGACTTTTGAACCCTTGTTGATACAACACCCTCAACAATGTCAAAATAAGTATAGGAGACTGGGACGGGATGTGATGGCTCAGTGGTTAAAGAGGCTGAACTTGTCAACTGGAAGGCTGAGAGCCCGGGTTTGAGACCCGAGCTCTTTGTGATGGGGTGAGCTCCCATTACTTGCTCCAGCTCCTGCCCACAGAGCAGCTTGAGAGTACGCAAATGCAAGCAGATAAATAGATACTACTTTGGTAAGAAGGTTATAACGTTCAGTCGTACTGGCCACATGACTACGGAAGTGTCTTCAGACAACAGTGGCACCCCCAGCTAAGAAACGGCGATGAGCAACTGCCCCTTAGTGTCGGGTATGACTGGGCAGCGGAAACCTTTACTTTTATAGGAGCCTGGAATGTTAAAAGTTGAAAATAAAGTAGCATGTAATATAATAGGAAAATATGGACTCCGTATACAGAATGATGGAAAAGGCAGAGTTCTGCCAGAAAATACTAAGTTTATAACAAATACCTCATTTCAGCAACCTAAAAGACATTGTTGCATGGACAATCACCAAAATGAAATTGACTGTATATTCTTCAAGTAAAGATGGAAACATTCTATTCTATTGGCAAAGCCAAGAATGAGTCCGGATTGTTCAAGCTCCTTCTTGCAGTGAAACTAAAGAAAACAAATAAAATCATCAAACCAACAAGGTTTGTCTTCAGTAATGTGTGATAGGATTATGCAGTGGTGCTACAGCATATAGATTTAATGGATTAGAATGCCTGAACAATTCTGGGCTAAAATTTATGACATCATTAAAGACAACGCAAAGATATCCAAAATTACAGGGGGGGGGAAGGCCACAGAAGGAGGGAAGGAGGGAAAACCGTACCCCATTAAACGCTGAGTTCAAGATAAGATCAAGAAGAAATAAGGAAATGTATCCAAGTAACCAGTGCAGAGAAATCAAGGATAATGATAGAAAGGGAAGGTCATGAGATTTATTTAAGAATGTTACCGAAATCATGAGAAATTTTAATGCAAAGAGGGACATAAAAATAGGGTAAAGAAGACAAAAATCTGTCAGAAAAAGAAACTACAAACATGAGATGTTTCAAATATACAAATGTACAAAAAGGGTTTCTATTAAAATATACCCAGACATTGGAGAAAATAAGTTTAATGGGACCTGGAAAATACTGCCAACAAAGCTGTAACTGTTGCTGAAATACCGGCACGAATCTTTAAAACCTTGCAAAATGATGGAGTGAACGTACCAAGCAGGTATGAAAAACATAGCACGGGGCTATGGGACTGGAAAAAATAAACACAGGTTCATTTACCAGAAAAGAACAATCCAACTACCAAACAACCTGTTTATCTCGTTTGTTATAAGATAACACTTCAGAGTGTGCATCCAGGTTTCAACAATACACGGGCCAAGAGCTCTCCAGGCTGGATTCAGAAGAGGCATATCAACCTGAAATCACATTGCTAACATTCAGTGGATAATGGGG